ATAGCCTAGGTTTCATCATACCCCCACCCGTGTGATAACGTGACGTCACTATGTGCCTTGCCTCAAAAAAGTTATTTTTATCAAGTGAGATTAAAATCCGAGAAATGCAGCGCATAAATTCGGTGTTATCGCCATGCCATTTAGCCTTGGCTGCCAGTTAACCAAAAGAAATATATAATCTTAAAAGAAAACCAGGCTTCTCCCAAATCACATTTAAGCTAGGATTTCAGACAAGGCAAACATTTATTTGCTACTGCAATAAATATAACCTATTTTTATATGAGTATGTATAGAAGCAAGCTCATGGCGAAAACATTTCTCTTGTGTTTGTTAAAAAGCACTAAAAATAGATAGATATTGCCATTAATTAATCTTTAACATTTTTTGAAGACCTGCTAATAAGTGTCCAGTATATTCAACAACAAATGTAGCATCCATGGCTTCTTCCATTCTCACCACTCTCTGATAAAAAGCAAAGCTTGTTTGTTTAAGCTTATTTTGTAGGCTGATTTATGAATTATTCATACCCCTAACCTTATTTGAATAATAAAATATAAGAACATTCTTAAGTTATTGTCGTGATTACACCCAATTGAAAACTTAAATTTTAGATAATGAACTTCTGATGACCATTTTTATGCGTCAGGTAAGTCTCAGTTACATCTGCTTTATCACCAACTGTAGCCCATAGTATTATTGGTTGCAATTACCCCTAGTCTATGACAAGAGTGCAGGCTATTTAGGAGGAAAATGCCTTTTTTGAGGCAAGGTAAAGTAAAATTTAGTGGTAACTGGAGGCCTACTGAAATCACTGTGTAAAAAATGCAACCTTATGCAACCAAGGTTGGCTAGAGCTCTTGTCTGAGGTCTACTGCTGGCTTTTACATAATATAGTTTTTTATTATTTAAATTGGACCCAGCTTTGAACAAATATATTTGTTGGCATCACTCTAGGTTTTCCATGTTATAATCAGATTGTGAAATATGTGCACTTTAAATAAGGATACTTAAACATAAGCTTAGTTCACATCTACACTTACCCTGCACCTATACTAATGAATTCCTGAATTACAATTTAGTTTTTTCAAGGAAGTTGTATTATCAAAAACCTACTTACACACGAAAAATTATTCAACAGTATTCATTAGTTCAGACCTTGGAAGGATAGTGGTATACTTATCCTTTCCTGAGATCTTAAAAACTGACGATTTCTTGTATGAAAGATTTCACAGCTGGGATTAGCCCTCAGTTTAACCATTATATTTTGAATTCCAAGGACTTTTACCCTCATTATTTAAAACACATACAAGTAATCCATACATAATTAGCTGGCAAATGAGTTCCATTCTCCTTTAGAATAAAAGAGTGAGGGTAGAAGAACGAGTTCTCCGTTAAGAATATCTCCACTGATGATTAATATCCAAAGTGAATTCACATTTTTTACGTGTTGGATTATTTCCGCGACTGTGGAATTAGATTTAAGTAGTTAGTAGCATGAAACTGCTAGATTATCTTCAGTTTATATTAAGAAGAAACTGCTCCTAAAATTTCCCGAATCCCAGTCTATTGAACAAATACTAAAGAAATAAAGAGAGTAACATTATGATATAATGTGGGATTATTCAAAACTCCATGCTTGGCAGGTGGCAAACTTGAGCAATACATGAGAAGATAGCTATTATACAGACCGAGCACACAGGCAAGGATGATGGACCTGATGACTAAACTAACCCTTCAATATTTCTAAGAAAGGGGAACTTGAAAAGCGTAAATGCTCTGAGTATATGTACGAACTCTAACAGAGTTTTCATAAAAATGCGGAGATAAAAATGCTGTTCTGAGCTTAATTTCATCTGGAGAGATTCTTGCATTAAGCTAACTCTCCCTTCCAGAAGGTCCAGCCTTTAAGTAACCTGGCACAAAATTAAATGGTCACAAGGCGGGTGGCATACATCATCCACGGTAGTGTTTCAGGGCTCATTCTTGCTTTGTGGTGCAAGTTATTTACTCAAGGCAGCGCCGATACCTTGAAATTCGTTCTGGGATAGATCTCCAGCATCGGACAATACGCCTTTATTATTATTTATGTAGTACATGAATAAAGTATTTTGAAGTCATATACTAAGCAAATTTAGTAAATTTTTATCCTCAAAATGGAAATGCATACTTATTGTCTGACTTGTGCCTTCTTATTGTTATAATATAGGTGAGATAAATTCCTTCCTGATCTATAAATTTTCAAGTAATGCGCACCTTAATTTTGGACTGGCTAATTATGCTTTAGACAAAAACTTTCAATAAATGTCAAGTTTTTATATGATAATTTAAAAAAGCGTGAATGGTTTAGAGACAAAACACCCAGTATGCAAGACCTCTAAACAATAACACGGCATTTCTCACACAAAGTATAGAATCATTGTTTCATATTGCTATAAACTTGTCTGTATAAAGCGTCTTCATACCGAGCAGGGCTTCCCAAAGGTACACAACCAGATTTTGTAGACTTTAAGATGCATACATAAATATTTCCCCAAATTCAAATTTAAAAAATAAAAAGAGGTGTTGATATAAGGGAGCAAAAAATGACCCCAAATAAAAAAATGATTTATATTTCGAGAAAAAGCATTTGAAACCACAAAAATGGGCTCAGGTGTTAAGTATCAATTGGGCCACCTGTGCAGGAGTATGAAGAATAGCTACAGGCAGATCAAGAGAGCCTGCATGCAAAGGGGCAGAAAACGAATAGCCATTCAGGGAATCTACTAGAGCCGTGTAAATCTGCTGATAGGCCGTGTGAAATTGGTCAGCTGCACGCTTACGGACAAGCTGTCGAAGTCGTGGTACAGCTAAACAAGCAATTTCTGGCAATTCATATTTATCCGGGTTGGCGAGATAATCATTTAAACTAATCTATTTGCAGATGGAATAGAAAAACAAATAAGACAATAATAGAGATAGTAAGAAATTTATAGGTTAAATATAACAAAAAATTGACCGAATGCGCCTGTAAAAGGAACCTTCACTTTTCCCTTTTGATTCGTATTATTAGAGATATAGACCAGAATTATATCCCTTTTATTTTGACAAAAGGAAGAACCAAACAGTTCACTTAGTGTGATCACAGACAATTTAGTGCAAGCCTATAAAATATTTTTAGATTTTATTATACAAGCCCTATCTTCTATCTGACTAATGCTATTCCACTCTCTTCGCTTCAGTGGAAATGGAATGTCACAACCGGGCCAGGAGTGCATACGTCCATGACTTATTTTAGATTGACTCACTTTTATCAGCCTAGTTCAGTCTTATTATTGGATGATCATTCATCATTTAATATTGACGAGTCTCACACATTTTCCTCTATACTACTTTTTACGATAGCTATGTATCTTAACAAGATTTTGGAGTAAAATGCTTTAAATCAAGCTTCAAATCGTGTTTAGTGGTACCCTCTGCCTTCATTATGAATTTGGTCTTAAATTAGACTTTCGCAAGCGTAGATATGAAGACCAAGATGGTCTGGCCTTCTGTTTGGTCGCAGTCTCCTTTAACTTTATAGTGCTGGTTCGACCTTGTTTTCGCAACTTGGCAGGGTACATTGCAAAACATTTCCCCGGCATCGTCAGTTAGAGGCGCCATCGTAAGCATAGAGCCACTTTGATAAGTTTTAAGTCTATGCTTACGATAGCGCCTCTCACTAACGATGCCAGCTAAACGTTTTGGAATGTACTCCGTCAATGGTCGAATGCTGGAAATCACGAATACTATGGCAGAGGACACGCGACTAGGTACGTTCCACAAGGTCTCCCTGGCGACCAAGTTGCGAAAACAAAGTCGAACTGACACTATTTAGCAAGCGTGTTGTAGGCTCCAACAGTTAAAGAAATAAGTGCAAATATGTTGCAAAAATGCTGATATGAAGAACCTGACAAATTTTATTTTGTTGAAAAATCGTATAATGCTGTCTCATTAGCAACACTAGCATATAGTGAATACTCATATAAATATTAAAAGAATTTAGCTATGTATAGGAATAAAGCGCAAGAAAGAGAAGATAACGTCGGGAAAAAGTAAATAATACGAATTTTAGTCACCCTATGCCGCCTAAGGTGAAAAAGGAATGAGGGGGAATTTCACCATAATGAGCTGAATAGACCTCTAAATACCATTTAATTCCAATTAGCCTTGCTTCTCAAATGGTATTCTCATTCATTGTGGGCTGAAGTTTGACGTCACCTGGATCTTCTTACCATACCCGACAGAAATGAAATCCGGGTAGTGAAACGTATGAGTTCAGAATGCTACAATTGTCACAATACAGCGACAAGTAACCTGGGCCACAGATTGCAGGACATAAGTAAATTTAAAAAAATTGAATACCTGTTACCCCCTTTAATTTGCCAAGTCCTACTTTACACAACCTTGGTACAATTAATTCTAGGAATCTTATAATTATACACGTTAGTTCGACCTTCAATTTGCAGCTGTGATGAGATTTAAACTTGAGGATTATTGGAGGTATGAAGACCAAGATGGTGTGGCCTATTGTATGGCCGCAGTCTCCTTTCGTTGTATAGAAGTTGTTTGAGCATGTTTTCGCTACTTGTTCATATTGGTAGGAAGACTCAGAGAACGCAGCTTGTCCGAAGTCCATTGTATGCATAATCATTTCCAAAGTCGGACCGTTGACGTGGTACATTCATAGACGTTTCGCCGGTATCGTCAGTGAGTTTTACCATTCGTAGCATCATATTACAACTCATCAAATATACAAGTGAAGCCGATCCTTTGACCAAACGTGTGCTAAACAGTTATGGTATCTCCACTTCTGCCCTGGCCTATTCACATTTCCTATATCCTCCAATCACGCCTACACTGTCACAATTTTTTACTTGCTTACTGAAATGTGGTACGGTGGGCCCTTTTGAGCGGCTTTCATGAGAACCTTCCGCATTGAACGCTGGCCTTCTCACCGCCCTTCATCCTTGTGTTGGGAATGTTGATCAGAGTCTGCCATATTGTTACGAAGTCCTCCTTCCCTAGGTCTCATCACAGTCTCTCTCTTGCCCCGTAGAATCCATCTGCGATCTCTCTAGTCCAAGTATTTCTCTCTATCTGCTACTCGAGGTGTTATTACCCCTCCTCTGCTGCTGGGTGACTAATTCGAGACTAAAGCATCTGATTAAGGCTCATTGTCAGGTCTTTGCCAGATGGACCACGTCTCTTATAAAACCTACTGTCAGCCCA